TTGAGCCTCTGCGTGCCCATGACGACACCCAGACCACATATACCGATGAGCAGCCTGCTGGCCCTTCTGCCAAGCTGCCTGCATCCCGCTGAGGTCCATGTTGCTCCCTCAGTTTTGGTGGTTCTTTTGCTGTCCCCAAAGTGGAAATTGCCTTGAAAATTGTACCATATACATATGACATGAATATAGATATTCTTGTATTGATAAAAAGTAAACCAATTGAAATAGAAAGTTGAGAAAAATGACTTGAGATATTAAGTCATAGACACAACCAGCTAATTTCTTCCAGTTTTTCTTCTCCCCTGTTAGGTACGCTATTGGCTCAGAGAAGCAAAGCTTTAAAAAGGCGATTCTTGCCAACCTGGAGCAGAAAATATTAATACAAGCAATTCAAACAACAGGTATAGCAAATCTTGGTGATTCACTTTCCTTAGGAGGAGCTTTTTTTTTTTTTTTTAAATAAGGGAAAAAATTGCATCTTTATTTTCATGAACTTTTAACTGAACATTAGCATTTCCTTCAAGTAAGCATGGAGGCAACGAACCTCTGTAATATTAGAAATTCCTGCGATTTTGTGAACAACTTCTAAATCTCAGATATTTTTATGTCCATTAATGTTCTTGCAGCTATTAAAATCCTCGTCACTACGTGGAGCTTATGGGGGATACGAGACCTGCTACTAGACAGTGCTCTTTGGTACATAAAGCACATCACAATTTTAAAAAATCTTTGGGTAACTGTATGTAAGAACAATTGCTTTCATTTGCGGTCCCAGGTCACGAATGCACATCACTTGATGCATTTATGTGATTCTGAGGCGTCTACAGACCTCAACAAACTGTCAAGGGGGTCATGGCACAAAAAGGGTTAAGAGCCCTGAATCTCACTCCCTAGTTTTCATAACCAGACCCTGGGGGTGCAGGGAACTGGAGCTATAACTTTTTTCTTTCACATTAAAAAAATTGTGGTAAAATGAACATACATTTACCATCTTCCTGATTTTTAAGTGGTCCCCTAACTTCAGCAGCGTCAAGCACACGCATACTGCTGTGTAACCCACCAAGGATGAGCTCTCGGGTGGAAATGACTGAATCTTAAAAAAGGAAAACTTTGTTTATATGTTCACTGTAACTCAATAAAGCTAAAATTCCAAAAACAAACCCAAAAGGGAAAACTTTGGCTAAGTGCAAATATTTTAAATACTCCTGATTTTAGGGAAACGGCCACAAAATAGTAATGCCCAGCGTGCACACACATCCCGCCAGAGATCTGTGAGGGCAGAGTGGAGACACCCGTCTAACCCTGACACACAGCCGGGTTGTCAGTGAAACTGTCCCGGCTCTGGCTTTGGGCATTTGCTTCTCAAGCAACGGCTTTTACGCCGTTTCCTGCTTCTGATGTGGCACGGCTGGGGGTAGACAGAGCTGGGCGTTGGCCGCTGGGCCAGCTGGGCCTGTTCGCTTTCCCTGAGTCTCAGGGTTCCCATTTGTGAAACCAAGGTGGTCCGGGGGGTTAAAGAGAACCAACCTTTCATAGAGCACAGGCGCTAAGCAAAGCCTGGGCACTTGGCATTCCCTTTTGCCCCAACATTCAGGTTACTTGACTATTTAGGATGAGGTCATTTCAATCTATTCTATGCAAAACTCAATTTTTATTACAGCAAACACCAAGGTCCAAATATACGTTGCCCTTGTGCCAGGAAATGAATCATTAGGGCGTGTCGTTGTTGGTGTACACTCCATTGGGTTCCATCCCTGCCATGCTTTTCCCTTTGAACTCTTTTTATTTATTTATTTATTTTGCGGTACGCGGGCCTCTCACTGTTGTGGCCTCTCCCGTTGTGGAGCACAGGCTCCGGACGCGCAGGCTCAGCAGCCATGGCTCACGGGCCCAGCCGCTCCGCGGCATGTGGGATCTTCCCGGACCGGGGCACGAACCCGTGTCCCCTGCATTGGGAACGTGGAGTCTTAACCACTGGACCACCAGGGAAGTCCCTGAACTCTTTTTAAAATATGAGCTGGGTTTGATGCCTTCACTGCTGGACAAGTTCCACTTATTTTTAACACTGGTTGTAAACCCAGCACAAAGCCCATTCTACGCACTCCAGTAGCCAAAGTCATCCACATTCTGAGATGCATTCTTATGGCAGAGATATGGGTAGTTCCCTCATGCAACACTCATTTATTGCACAAAGCTCTGGGGACTCAGAGACGAGTTTAGACACGGTCACTGCCCCAAGGAGCTCAGTGTGGCTGAAGAAGGAAGGACAGGTGTTTCACCTCAAGAAGAGCCCAGGCAAAAGCAGGGAGCTCTGAGAAGGGGAGATAGTCAAGGGAGCTCTGCAATTGGGGGTGGGGAAACCCAGAGCTGTCTGTACAACGGGCACTAGGAGTGTCTCTGGGTCTTCCTTTGTATCCCATGGAGGGGGGAGGAGCCTGGGCAGGTGGACTTAGGTGAGAGGGTGCTGGAGTAGCTTGGCCATAAAAAGGAATGAGAGCAGAGACACAAGGCAGAGGTCGTTAAGTCCAGGCATGGCAGTAGGAATGGTTGGAGGACCAACTATGGGCTGCGGGGATCTGCAGACCAGACCCCTGGAGGGGAGGGTCCCAGGACTAAAACGGGGCTTGGCGGCTGTGGCCAGGTGACCGGAGACTACCCGAGGGGTGAGGTCTTGGTGACCACAAAGTAAACGATTTGGTGCACGTCCCGTCTGATGTGACTGCTCGACAGTCAGGCGAAGGCCAAGGCAGGAACTGACCATGCGCAAAGTTGCCCTTTTCCTGGGAAATCAGAGCACAGCTTTTTTCAACGAAGTCTTTCTTCTGAATGTGTGGTCCTCAAAAACACTTACAAATACCATAACTGTATATGCCAATTATTACCATTATCAATGTCAAAATCAACATCAATAAAGGACTGGCAATTTTAACCAAGCTTCTTGGAGTAGCCTAGAGAATATTCAGTACAAGTAGAAAAGTCGTTCATGTTCAGACTAGTAGTGCCCAATTCCGGACGTGCGCAAGCCAAGGAAAACTAGTGTGACTAAGTTCTCTTCATCTTTACCTGACACCATCCAGGTGTGAGCGGGATGTTTCCCTTTTCAGAGCAAACCCGTCATCCCTCCAGCTTTCCCGTTTACAGCAGTAATCTGGGAATACCGGGACCTGAGATTAAAGGGATGCCGGCCGCCATAACGCCACAGCCTCCGGGGCCTGGAGGTAAACTCTGGTTGCTGCAAGGAAAGCCTTCAAAGGGGTCATTCGGGGACCTGGGCTTTGCTGCCTGACTCTTCCTCACCTTTAGGTCCCTGGAATTCCTTCTGTTCAATTGGGACAGTGCAGGGCTGCCCGGAAGGTTCTATGGGACCGGCCTGATGGCGCCTGTATCACCAACACTCATGTACCACTCGCCGAGTCACTCGGCCGCACTTACTTGCAAGGGAAGCTGGAAAACACCTGAGCTGTTTGCTCAGGAAGAAAGTAGGTTTGGTGACCTAGCCAGTCCCATCCCAAGTAGTTTCCCCTTTTAAAGATTTACCTTCCTCTGCCCCTCTGACTTTTGCATTAACCTGGGCAGAGACCTCCAGATACTTCCAGCTGGATTCCTTCCCTACCTTCCCCCAAGCAAGCCACATGCAAAGCCCTCGGAGAAGGAGGCGGGGCTGTGAGTTGAACCCTGTCCTTCAAGATCTGTTGGAGGTCCCATCCCCCAACCTGTGAATGTGACCTTATTTGGAAATAGTGTCTTTGTAGAAGTAATCGAGTTAAGATGAGGTCACACTCAATTCAGGTGGGCCCTCATCCATGACTGGGGTCCTTAAGAAAAGAGAGGTTTGGATGCAGACACAGGGCAGACGGCCAAGCGATGCCTTGATCTTGGATTTCTGGCCATCGGAACCTCAAGAAAATAGATTTGTTATTTTACGCCACCCGGTATGTGGCACTTTGAGACAGCAGCTCTGGATGAAAACCTCCACTTCTGCCACTGGCCGTGCAAGTCAGTCAACTGCAAAATGGGTGTCAGGATATGGCTGGCGGGGCTGGAACTGAGAAGCACGGAGGGTACAGGTGCACCCCGAGGTTCTTGCTTGTACAACACGCCCCAGGCCCGTGGTGGGGAGGGGCTGAGCCTTTTGTGGTCCCTGTACTCTCTCTCAGTGCTGCAGACACCCTGTTCCCCAGGTCTGGCCTGGCCTTGGGCTCACTGGTGCCTACTCAGCCTTTGGCCTTGGATTAAAGTTACTTCTCAAGGGGGCTCTCCTTAGCCCCACTCCTCCCTACCACCTGCAGGTGGGGCTGGTCTCCATCAGTTGCCCCCCTACCCTCATCCTGTTCTCTCCCTGGGCTTGGTTCAGAGGGCTTGGTGAGCGCAGGGCCCGTGGGAGTCCGGCTTGTTGTAACCTGATGAAGGTGCCCGGCCCTCAGAAATGGCTCGGCCCTCAGCTGTGTATTGTGGGTTTGGGATTGGCCAATTCCAGGTACACAGGACCAAGAAAAAGGAAAGCCACCCACTTGCACCCTTTGGGTGCTCTAGGCAACACTGATTCCCATTAGTTAGTTGACGACTGAGATCCCTATATTTCAAGAACAATTAAATCAATAGCAAGAAAACAGATACCCACTAAACCAACTGTCACACTGTCACCTAGGGGAGACCGGGTTGGGACGGAGCCATGGTTCCATGCACTAGGTTTTGTGTTTTACTAGAAGTCTGGGTGCGTACAGGAAAAAAAAACACACACACTTATGTTAAAATATCCAAAGAAAATTTACTGCAACTTTCGTAGAATTGAATTTGTGCTACAAGACACGTTGCATAGGAAACTATTTAAAGCCCCTGAGGAAAAAAAATCTCAGTATTTAAGGTGCGACTGGCTTTGTTTCTTCTTTGGGGAAGAGCGAGAGACGCTCTCTGGGAAGACTGAAGGTGGAGAGTGAAGAACCAGTACGTAAGGTGACTTCGTGTGACGATTTGGGGGAATTGTGTATCTTGGTTCTTGCAGCACAAAACATGTAGTGTTTTTTTTTTATTGTTGTTGTTGTTTTCTAGTCAGTTGGCCTTCCGTATTTGAATCAATAGATATATAAGAATGTTTTAGCCCAGTAAGGGATTTACATTGATTATACTAAGTAATTAGCATGTTTCCAGAAAGCAGATTTAGAGAATGAGATGCCAGAACCCCAGATGGCCCAGTATCACTCATGTAAGCACAGCGCATATCCTGGCCCCTTCCTGGGGATCAGCTCTGTTGATCTGCCCGTATTTCTTCATCCCTGTCCCTCACTCCCTTCCGAGATGCACGCACAACGCAATTGTAGAATTCAGCGCAATTTGATCTCCGACCATCAAGGTTATCAATGCAACAGTCCGCCAAGTCCCAGATTTTATGTGGGAAACATTTTCAGATGACATTCATCCTGCTCAGATAATCTCCATATTGTTTAAAAAAAAGAGATTCCTCTATGCTATTTATTTCCAAGGAGAGACAGGCATACCGGGAGGGGAGAGGGGTTACGTTTTAGGTGGAATGAAGTAGAGAGTTTGGCAAGTGGCAGCAGGCACCTCTGGGCGTCAGCGTAGGGTGTGCTTGTGGTGACGTTTTCTTCGTGCCCAGAGGAGAGGCTTCGAGCTCTGCAGTGAGCACTCCCCTGTCCCCGGGGAGAAGCAGGACCTCTCAGAGCTGCAGGGGCCACCTCTCTCCACATGGCGTAGCTCTTTTTTGCATTAAGGGCGCACAGGCAGGGGCCGTAGACAATGCCACCTGCCCGCCGCCTTCTCATCTCAAGTGCACCCAATCGCTCCTGCTGGATTTCACTCCTCCTGCTAAAGCTCAAAAAAGCTTCCCCTGTGCTGTGGCCATTCCTTTACTGCAACACGAGGCCAAGGTACAGAAGGTAATAAAAATCACAGGGAATCGCAGGCCTAGGACAGCCTCAGAAAGAATGCGCACGGACCACACTCATTTACTGAAACACCACGTTTCCTATTTGATTTCTTTCTTTCTTATTTTTTTTTTTTACAATTACAGAGGCAAAAAGGTCCAACATCTGAACGAGTGTCTTTCCGTGCTAAGTGTTGAAATGCAAAGAGAATCCGGCAATCAGAAATGCCCCCATGACCCTTAAATACATATATACATCTGTAACATAATTTAAAAAGGTCTTTATAGAACATAAAAACCTCAACAGTATCTGCCCCTATGAAGTATTTTCTTTTTCTTTTTTTTTTTTTTTTACCTTTATGGTCCATTAAAAAATTAGATACCACCTTTCTCGTACGCCCCCCCATACTTTAAAAAAAAGTTATAAATTTATACTTAACAAATAGAAAGCTATTTGATTGGCAACAACCTGCAGTAGAAATTCCCTCCAGGTCTCTCCCGTGACAGAGGAGGCAGGTGGAACATCGCGTGTGCTCGGTCCTGGGTGTGGATCCAGCCAGGAGGGACCCTGGGTCTGTCTGAGCTGACCTTCCCTCCCTCCCCAGCTCTAAGTGCCCGCCTGGGCATCCAGGGCAGACAGAGGGCACGCACCCCGGAGCAGCCCTCTGGGAGGGCGTCAGAAGGTCGCAGACCCGTTCAAATCACGAGGTCGTCGTGGTCCACGGGACTGAAAGCGGCCGCTCGCAGGATGTCCAGGGAGTTGACCATGATCAGGGTCCCTGTGAGGTGTTTCCAGCGCTTGGTGATGGGGTTTTTCATCTTATCCAGGCCAGTGTGCAGCTCCTGGATGACATCCCGGTAGCTGTCCCCGACCTGGTGGCTCCAGGTGAGTAGAAAGTCGTACGCAGGCTTCCACATGGCCTGGGTAGTGGAGTTGTCCAAAACCAAAAGAGAGAGAAAAGATTAGGGGACACTGAGAGACTGGGTCCTAGAACCTCTCCTAGTACCAGTATCTCTGTTCATCACTGACACAACTTTTTTTTTTTCCAGTACGCGGGCCTCTCACTGCTGTGGCCTCTCCCGTTGCGGAGCACAGGCTCCGGACGCGCAGGCTCAGCGGCCACGGCTCACGGGCCCAGCCGCTCCGCGGCATGTGGGATCCTCCCAGACCGGGGCACGAACCCGCATCCCCCGTATCGGCAGGCGGACCCTCAACCACTGCGCCACCAGGGAAGTCCCCTGATGCTACTTTTTAAAGAGTGAAATGAACCCAAAGAAGCCGCCTCCGTCCCGGGCCAGCATATTTCAGAGGCAAGAACCACACACCTTGTGTGAGAGCAGGTGTATAGTACCAAGTAGTGACCAAACAAATAGAAAGGTTTCTCTTTCCTTCCAACCTCCCGTAGCACTTTCCGTTTATTTAGAAACTCATCACATCCATCAAGGATGCCCTTATTCTTGGGACTCCAGCTTCCGAGGTCTTGCAAGCCTGACTGTCTTTCCAGAAACTTAAAGTGACCACCACTAGACAAGTGAGAAAACAAAGACTCCCTGAGCAGGAACCCAACCAGCCTTGGCCGAAGCTGACAACATCCCAGGTATGCATTTCACACCGTGTGGGGCAGAGCCCCAACCAGAACTGATCACGAAGGGCTCCGTCAAGCACCATCGGGCGGAAGGTAATGTAAGATCAGGATCAGGGACGGATGGGCAGCTCCGAGGATGCTGTTCCAACGCCCCACTTGACGGGAGAGTGGCCTTGCCGCCGCCAGGGCCCGGGCTCACAACTAAGGATCCCAGGAAGGATGAGACTCGCTCCCGCTCAGCGAGAGCCTGCTACGTGCCAAGCACCTGCCTTCACGTTTTACCTATGTTGTCCTCGTAAAAACGCTGTACAGTAGACATTGTCATCACTGCATTTTACAGGTGGAGGGAAGGGCAGCCCCACTCACCTCGCTGTCCACCACCCCATTCCTGTCCCGGTGAGGAGACTCGTATGCGTCCATCTGCTGCTTGGACACCTTGGCGAGCTTCTCAGCCAGCTCCCTCCAGCGCTGGGCCACCTCGACCGCCGTGGTCAGAAGCACGAAGTCCTGGATGAGTCTGACCACCAGGCCCTGGCAGTCCATCTTCAGTAAGGCCTAAGGAGGAAGGAGCAGGCGTGAGGCAAGACACAGGGCAGGCTCTGGTTTCACGGGAAGCCTGCACCGCAGAGGCCACGAGCCAGCACCCTCAACACTGCAAGGCCTGAGCGCCAGCACTGCCGGGACTCCCAGGTGCAGGAAAAACCACGATCTGTGGGAGGTACTGGGTCCCCCGCCCACAAATTCTCGTCCTTCTGGAACCTCCCAACGTGACCGAATGTCAAAGTAGGGATCTTTGCAGATGTAATTAGCTAACATGAGGCCCCACTGGACTAGGGTGGGTCCCTAATCCAATGACTGGTGCTCTCATAAAGAGAGAAACAGACATGCAGAGACAGAGAGAAGTAGTCCACGTAAAGATGGAGGCAGACATGGGGTGATGCAGCCACGTCACTGGAGCCACCAGGAGCTGGTAGAGGGGCACAGGCCAGACCCCCTCAGAGCCTCCAGGAGGAGCCAGCCCTGCTGACACCTCCAGACCTGTCACAGGATAAACCTCTGCGGCTCAGAGCCTCCCAGCTTGTGGTACTTTTTCGCAGCAGCCCCGGGACACTGACAGGCAGGGTGCGTGGGATGACAGCTGTTCATCTGTTCCCTCCCCGACTGGGGCACCTGGAGAGGTGATGCCCTTTGCCCGGACAGCCAGCTCGGCATGGCCTGGGGCTCAGGGCAGGACAAGCTGATGTCAGCAGGTGGGGAGCCCCAGCGGGCAGAAGAGGTGCAGGTGAGGGCTCAGATCCAGGCCTCTCAGGTTCTCGAGACACACGAAGGCCTCGCGTGGAGGGGAGGCTAACAGGACCATCAAGAAAGTCTCCAGAATTGATGGGACTGTTCCCTTGACAAAGCTGCGAGAGCCTTCTAGTGTCTCTAGGATGGGGATCACTAACTATGGAGGGACAGGGGCTCAGGAGGGAAACAAACGCCCGTCAGCCAGGAAGGAGGCAACGGGCAGAGCCTTGCCCAAGTCCCGGCTCGGCCCGAGCAGCACAGGGCCACCTTGGACTCGATCCCCCATCCAGGAAAGGGGCTGGTCAGTCAGGTGGGCTTCCAGCACAGGGCTCGACGTCCTGTGGGTTCTGTGCGGCCCCAGGCTGGAGGCTGTGTCACATTAGCATTTCTGGCTCACATCAGTAGCACAAACCCGCAGCCCTCCTGTCCGCACGCATCACCCCAAGCTACGAGCTACACGGACGGCTGCTGGGTGTCGGGCTGCGGGTCCGGTGAGAGCCGGTACAATGAGTGTGCAGCTTTGGGCGGCCAGGATTGAGCCCCAGGCAGGGGGAGAAGGCGCGGTGAGAGCCAGACTCTCATCCGCGGAGCCTCTGCCGTCCAGCACATCCTCGGGCTACAGCCTGACACCTGCAGAAGCGACAGGGTCTGAGACCCCCTTGGGTCCTCGGACGTCGAGGATGCAACCAAAGAGATGCTGCTACCGGTCACCGGGCCCGGCCTTCTTTCTGTCCCTCTATGCTCTGTCCAAGCACCTGACGTCCCTTCAAGGCTCCGAAGAGAAAGTGTTAAAAACAGCAACTGACCAAGCAGCAAGCCCCCCCGCAGCTGAGCCAAACACACCGCTCACGCGCTCCCTTCAAACATCCCGTGAAGACGCAGGCGGCCTGGCATCTGTGCAGCATCAATCTGCTAGTTGAAAGAACGCCGCTATTTCTGAGTATTCTCACCTGCGTTTTATGTTTATTTGGGGGGAACTTAACAAATGAAGAAATGGTGACTTTTGGGGGGAGTCCCTGAACGCAGAGGCTGATGCCCCAGCATCTCAATCTTTGCCTTTAAAACATAAGATCAATCTGAGGCCGTCCTGGGTCCGAGGGGGCCATAAAGGTGGGAAGGCAAAAGGGAGCTTGAGGACCACATGGTCCTTTTCTGATTTTTGTTTTTGATTTTAAATAAACTATCTTCATTGAGTATTTCCAGTGAGCCGGGTGCAGGGCGCATCTACCTCTCAGAACCCCCATGAAGGGAAGCCAAGCTCACCCCAATCTGCAGGTAAAATCGGAAGGAAAGGGAGGGGCTCCCATACCTGGTGAGGGGCTCCAGGCAGCCTGTCCCCAGCTGCTACCCACCGTGTGGGTTGCACGGTGTCTGTTTTATAGACCCCGAAGAGGCTGGGTGGCTTGTCCAGGGTCCCACAGCTCGAGGGCACAGAAGTGGAGGCAGGCCCAGACTTCCCGGTGCTCAGGCCAATGGCCTTTCCAACTGTGTGGGCACCACGTGACATCAGGAACCGAGCACGAGGCGTCACCTCAACGATTTACAGACTTCAGAAAATGGTCTCTGAACTTTGGTATCTTCAAGTGAAATTGTTTGAAAGAACTTAAATGTTTACTAGATTTGTGGTGCAGAAGATGTGAAGAGTATACAGGGGTGTGTTTGTGGTATGGGGGAGACATGTGATAAACTGGTAGAATTCTGGATTTAAATTCTTTTGCCTGAATAAAAAACAACAACAAGGTCCTACTTATAGCACAGGGAACTATATTCAATATCCTGTAATAAACCATAATGGAAAAGAATGTGAAAAACAATGTATATATATGCATAACCGAGCCCCTCTGCTGTACAGCAGCAATTAACACAACAATGTAATTCAACTCTAATTAAACAAAATAAATTAAAAAAAAAAAGTTAAACAAAAATTCTTTTGGCGTGGTGTGGTCTGAGCCCAGACACACAGGAGAGGCAGGGTGCCCTCCAGCCACGCCTGGTGCCCTGAGAAGGCGTCTGGCCAACCTCCCGTGACAATGGTCCCACCCAGGCTTCCTCACAGTGTCCCAGCAGTGTCTGTGTGCTCAGTTACCAGACTCCGCAGGTGGCCTTGTTTTCTAGGTAACAGAACACTTCAGAGTCACCTGCTTCTGATTCGGGTATCCCTGGCGGGGGCGATCAAAGCTGCTCTCTCCCAGGACACCGGGTGTAGGCACAAAGGTCCTGAGAAACTCAAACCCTCTCTCTGGCCCCGAGCGGTCACAGCTGGGGCAGAACGCTGCCCACACCACCGCCAAGGGGGAGTTCATGCATTTTTTTTTTCTGAACGGCACATTTTGGGTGCCCACCAAGTCTCAGCAATAGAAAATTTCTCAGGGGCAGGGATACGGTGCTGGAACCTTTTCCCTGTAGCATCCTCTTTAATTCCTGCACACACACCAGTATACACAGGTGATACCAGAAATAAAGCACAAGGCTGGTTCCAGCTGGACTCTCACGAGCTGGAGTGACCCATGACTTAAGTCAGGGTGGCCAAGTCTGTTCCAAGGACAAGACAGGACCTATTTTTGGCTTTGCGGGCATGGCGTCTCTGCCTCAGCCACTTGACTCTGCCAGTGGGGCGTGAGAACGGCACAACAACACTTGAACGAGTGGGCAGGGCTGCGTTCCAGTAAAATTTCATTTACAAAAGCAGGTGGCCCGCGGGCCAGTGTGTCAATCCCTGTTTGCAGAGACATTCTTATGAAAATACAACAAAACATCACTTTGCTGTATGTTCACTTCACCCCAGTCGTGCTCCCATTCCTGAGATGCTGAAACACCAGAAGGGCAGTCACCATGGCAACCCTGCTCCTCCCTGTAGTAGCAGCCTTGGGCTGTGGGACCACCTGGCAGGAAGTCCCCAGGAACCTCCCTAAGTGCACAGCAGGTAGTTAGCTGTGTCCTTCCTCTTCTGGGGGATAAAGAGATTTTGCTCCTGATTCAGAGAATCCCTCCACACCGTCCTCTCCAGCCCTAGCTCTCCGCGATCTCAACATCCCCCCTTATTTCCATTAGTTTTCAAGGTTCTCGGTGTTGATTTCACCCCACACCTCACTCCTAAAGCAACCACCCACCTTGACTTATATCCTACAGTAACTTTCCCTTTTTCAGAGAAACTTCACCGAGAGCCCAGAGCATCCATCCATCCTTCCTTCCTTCCTTCCTTCCCTCCCGGCCAGGAGGACAGACACTGTGCCTCTCGTAATCCCCAAAGTTGGGAATAATCTCTTACACTGAAAGCGTGTTGTTGAACGAAAATACTTCCCGTTCTCGGAGACCTGGGTTCCTCAGGGTTCTGTCTGCCACCCTCCACACACACACACACACACACACACACACACACACGCACACACACACGAGATGGCCATCACCCAAATCCACGCAGCTCTACAGCACGAGCCAAATCCTCCTCTCTCCTCAGTGCTGAGCATTGTCATTAAGTCCTGGTACAAACACATAGCAACGTCTCCTGCTTGGGCTTTCGACCACACTCAGAAAACCCTTCCCCAAACCCACAAAGTGTATGAGAAGCAACATTAATGCCCTAAAGACAGAGGAACGTGCTCTGTCGTTTCTTGCCTTCATGAAACAAAACAAAAACCGACATCGAAATCCAAGGCTCAGAGAGGTGAGGAGAGTATATACACACCAACAGGGCTATTCAGTCTGGTCGCTGCAGTGATAGCTCTTGACACCAGCAGGGCTGTTAAGGCATCCCCTGTCATTCTCAGGCCTTGCACGCCCCGAAGTGACACCCACTGCCATGCGTCAATGCTGGCTCCTCCTGTCTCCAGAGGGCTCCTACAGCTCGCAAAATGTTGTCATGGAACGAACAGGGACAAGCGTGCAGAGCCACGGGGCCGGGACCCGGCTCAGAGCAGCGCTGGTAATGGTGAGACCAGGCACCACTGCCCTACCGGAGACCGAGGACCAGAGCACCTGCCCGGCTGCGGGGCGCGCAGGCTCCACGCAGACACAGAGCCGCCTGTACATGCTCTCCAGGCGCGTACAGAATGCAGAATATGGACAACGCAGGGCGAACTCGGGGGACTGAGGAACATCGGCAGTGTCTACCCTGCAGCCCACTAACACGGGCCGCCTCTGGGAGACGGGCCGGGCACTCCTGCTGCTGGCCCTCAGGACAGACACACAGCACCGCAGCACCTGCTGTTTTCACAAACAGAAAAGTCAACGAGGATGATCTTCAGTCTGGAGAAAAGCGAAACCCGGGGTGAGCCACGGCAGCGGGGCCGACCCCAGGACCCCAGGGGCTCTGACGGCCAGCACCGGTGTGCACGTGGCCTGGGAACTGCCGCAACCCAGACCCAGGGCCATCGGCCATCCAATCCCCACCGGCCAGGGCAGGATGGAAGAACACCCCGGGCTACTGCACAGGGCGCCCTCTTGCTAAGGTCGGCCAGGTCTGAAGGCAGATGTGGGTAAAAGCCAAGGGATCCAGGCACAAGCCTGTGAGGGGCTCCCCGCCTCACAGCACTTCCGTTTGACCTGTACTTTTCATCTCTGACCTCTGCTAAAAATGACCCGCCCACTCATTGCCTTAACAAGAGGAGAATCCAGGGGTGTGTGTGAAAATTAGATTCTCCACTGCCAGGTGTCCTGGTATTCTGAAAGAATGGCACTCAGAGGGTGTGTGTGGGGGAGGGGGAGACTGGCTGTCACCTGAGTGGCTCTGAGACTAGAAGGCAGCAAGGAGCAAAACACCTGGGTAGATGCCCAAGGAGCAGGGACACACCTGGATCTCCAAGGAGCAGGGACACACCTGGATCCCCAAGGAGCAGCACACACCTGATCCCCAAGGAGCAGGACACACCTGGATCCCCAAGAAGCAGGGACACATTTGGATCCCCAAGGAACAGGACACACCTGGATCCCCAAGGGGCAGGGACACACCTGGATCCCCAAGGAGCAGGGACACACCTGGATCCCCAAGGAGCAGGACATACCTGGATCCCCAAGGGGCAGGGACACACCTGGATCCCCAAGGAGTAGGGACACACCTGGGTAGATCCCCAAGGCGCAGGGACACACCTGGATCCACCTGGCTCCCCTTCACGTCCCCTAAACACTTAACACCCCCCTCCCCAATGCCCACAGAATAAAGCACAAGCATTATCCAGCCCAGGTGGCCGTGTGCCTCCCTCCCATCCCCCCATGTATCATCATCTTGATTCAACCCAGCCTCCGGCCTCTCCCAGCCTCTGGTTCTACCCCATCCCGTTCCTCTGCACCCTTGGCCCTTGCCCATACTGTACTTTCAACCCGACAGCCCCTCCCTGTTGGATGGGATTCTGCACATCCCTCCCTGAGTCAGGGGGGATCTTTGCCTTTCCCTGGTCCACCCATGCCAAGGGGATCTTCTCTTCAGGGCCCATTACGAGTCTGTCTTGCACTCCTGTGGTTGTTCACTCGGCATCTCCCTCAGGGGAAGGCCCAGCACCCAGCACCCGCACTAAGCACACAGTAGGCACCCAAGAAATGCTGAATGAGTATGGAGCGCAAACACCTGCCCCTGGCTGGCCGTGATGGCTCTTCAGAGCTCTGTTAGAAGCTGCAGCCATATACCCGCCACCTGTTCTCGCTGGCCTGTTTTGGACAACACAATTTGACTTCAAAAGCTCTTCAAATAGGTGGTGCCCATTCCAACCCACAAGTCCCCCCAGCTAAGAGATCCCCAGGGGTTCATTCAGTGATCTCTAATGCCTGGGGACTCTGGGAGCTCTGTCCACCCTGGTCACTCTCTTTGGAGTCAGCCCAGCATCATGCCTCCCCCCATTTTCATTATAGTCGGTGGGGGGCATCTTCGGTGTTGGATGGCCATCCTCTGTCACAGACATGCATGGCTTCTACTGGAGAGCTGGGCGGACCGGGGACAGAGGGACATTTTCCACGGTGGTCACACCATGCGGGTGAGCAAGAGGCACAGCGGGAGGTCATACGGGTACATAAGATGCCTCTGCGGGTGAGCAGAGGCACAGCGGGAGGTCATACGGGTACATAAGATGCCTCTGGACCAGCTCTGAGATTGAAAATATGCACTAAAACAACAGAAAGAGGGGACGGAACCAGAGAACAGAAGCATGTCTGACCTCACGAGACTGCGTCCAGATCAGATTCTTAGCCTGCATCCATTCATTCGTTCACTCATTCATTCACTCATCAACTATCTGGTTGTTTCCTATGTGCCAGCATCCCTTCCCTCGTGGAGTTCATATCCAGTTAGGGTAATGACAAGAACCATGAATACAAGTAAACAAGACCATTTCAGATTCGAGAAAGCACCGTGAAGACAATGCTACAATAACACAGACGGTCAGTGACCCAGAGACACAAGGTTGCTTTATCCAGGGTTGCAGGAAAGGTCTGACAAGAGGACATTTGAGCTGGAATCTGAAGGCCGATAAAAAGCCACGACGTGAAACTGGGGGAAGAGAATTCCAGGCAGAGGGAACAGCATGTGCAAAGGCCTGGGGCAGGGCAGCTGGGTGTGTCCAAGATACAGAGAAAAGGCCAGAGTGGCCGGAGTGCAGGGGCAGGTAGGGGCCCTCGGGCTGTGATAGGCGGGGCTGGGTCTTACAGGGCCTGTGGGGCAGAGGAAGGGGCTGGACCTCGTGCTGAGAGCAGTGGAGGGATGGACAACTAAGTTCTTGATTCTTTTTTCCTTCCCATCTCCCCACAAATTTACCATCCAAAACCTTCACCACTTCTAATTCGTTCAATCACTGCTTCCAAACCAAGGAGCCATACTAAACAGAAAACTACCTTCAAAATGAGAGCGGTGGGGAAGTGGTGGTCTGGCTGCGACACGGCTGGAGCGGGGGCGGGTTAGATCAGTGGCTGAGGCCCCAGGAAGCCTGACTGCTCAGTGGTTTGTTACGTCCCTGGAAATAAAACACCTGGTTTCCAGTGACTCCTGAGACACGCTGGGATAAATCGGCCTGTGGTTTCTAGAAGTCTGGCCAACCATTCAAATCTGCCAACCCACAAGATGAAGAGATAGGAGAGGGGGTGGTGGGGTGGGGGTTGGTGGGGGGGAATGCTGCAAAACCAGTTTCACTTCTGTACCACAAATCTAACCTGTCTCAGGGCCACATTCCTGCCAAGGTCAAGGTTCATTTCCTCCTCTCTGGGAGTCCTGGTGGCTGTGGGCCTGGCGGGGGTGGGGGGAGGGGGGGCAGCGGGGGCAGGGAGAGGGTCTTGGACGCACACAGACCCCCGTCCTCACACACAGTAACCCAAGGAAGCCACCTGAAAAACCTGCTCTCAGAGAAAGTTCTCCAAGTTGAATAAAACAAGATGAAAAGAAAGGAGCAGGAAATGGAAGTGAGAGCCGCCTCTGTGCCGCCCAGGTTGATGCATCCTGCACCCCTGCCGGTTCCAGGTGAGCATCTTCTAGCTGTGACTAAGGAACGGTCGATACCCTTTATGTTCCATGAATGCACATCATTCCACCGTCCACAGAGGATCCCGGCTGGACGCTCACCCTGGGCCGCTGTGCGAGGTCCATCACGAGGGCACCGGGCAGCTCGGGCTGGAAGCAAGCTCCGGGAATCGATCTCACAGGTGGGCCGGCGAGGCGAGCCCCTGAAGGGAGGGTCCTGGGTCCCAGCTGTGCAGGAGCCCCATCCAGCGCAGGGGGAGCTTCCTCTGCTGCCCATCCCCACCCCCGCCTCACCCCTCCCCGTTGCCATGACAGCCGGCTTCCTCCCCACCTCTCCCAACTGAAGCTGCCATCGGCGACCCATCAGCGACGGATGCCCCCAGCGACCCCCTGGATGCCACCTCCAGTTCCCGTCTCCCTCCTCCGGGCAATGTCAGGTTCTCACCTTGCTCCACGCATCCGGCACCTTCTAGTATCTTGGGGCCACCGATAAGGGGTCTTTCTTCACGCCCCGATCCCTTGCCGGACTGCAATGCATGCTCCCTGCAGCAGGGGCCATGCCACTGTGGACCGTATCCCCTTCTGTCCCCCCAGCCCCACGGGGCTGCCCAGGGCGTGCACGCAGTGATGGCCCTCGGCTGCACACCTCCGTCCACGCGTGCATCCTCACTCACGCAGACACGCCTGGCCCATCCGTTCCAACAGGCGTTCCCTCAGGATGGCAAGTGCTGGGGGCAAGGAGGGGAGTTGAAGCGGCAGAAGTTCAGGGGCGCTGGGAGTCACACCTCACGGAGATAAGGAGGCGAAAAGGACTGTGTGGGGTCGGAGGAACACGAGAGAAGAGCCTGTGACCGAGGCCTGGGGGTTTTCCGTGGGAACAAAAACTAGGGGCGTGTCCACATCACGAGGACCAGGGAGAGACCCGAGTCGGCTTCTATCACAGAAAGAAGTCGACAGAGAATGTCCGGCACAGATCTGACTAGGGATGCCCAGAGGACATTAGGCTTCTCCCAGGCATAACTCCTCCAAGGCCACGACAGCCTCCGAACTGTGGCGAACAGTTAAGAGTGGACTACCTGAGGGCGTCATGACCGGCGCAGAGCCCAAGCCTGTTGGAGGCCGTGATCGGGTCCAGAAAGCTTCCCATTTGGCTTGCGGGCCGGCTGTGCCCAGCAGTGGGACTCCCCCCTCTTTACTTTTTAGGGTCCAAGTTCCCAGTTGTGCTGGCAAAACAGAGGCCGCCCTCACCCCAACTCAAACACACGCAAGAAGGAGGAAGAGGAAATGACACAGAGAGAGGGGAGAACCTTCAAGTAAGGCCTGGAGAGAAAATTTCACAACAAGATAAAGTCAGACTTTGGGGCGAGTCACAGATCCCGCTGGGAATCTGATGAAAGGATGGATCTTGTCCCAAGAGATCTAAACAGGGGCGGGTGGCGCACAGGGCCCCCCTTGTGTCCCCGACCGGGCAGGCAGAGATGCATTCCGGACCTCCAGAGGAGCTCACAAATTCAGCAGGAGGAGACCTGGACGACCCTCACCGCAGTGGCTCCGAGTTGTTTGGGGGCCCCTACCGGTCCCACGTCAATGCCTATCCCCAGGCGTGTGTGAGTTTCAGGGAGCAGAACGGGGGCCCAGACCCCGGTCCACTGACTCCCGACACCACACCCGTTCCCACACGCGCAAGGGCAAGGCTGGGGCTGGACCGAGCCCCATCCTCTAGGAATCCAAGCCCCACCGGGCACTCACCATCATGAGCTCCTTCTGGAAGGATTTCCGGTCTTTGTTCTCCGTGCTGTTGCAGTCCTCCTTCAGCTTCTCCAGGACCGACGCCACCCGCTCGGGCTCGCTGTCCAGCTCGGCCCTGCAGAAGAAGGTGAGCGGCAGGTTCCCGTAGCCCAGGGCGTCGGCGAAGGAGCGCCAGCTGCTGATGTTCTCCATGAGCAGCGTGCGGACGGAGGCGTAGATGTAGGTGAGGAACTTGCACGGGCGCAGGATCTGTTCCAGCAGCAGCGACGTGCTCAGCTCGGGCCCAGAGAGGAGGCTGGGCCGCGCCTTGCCCACCACCAGCACGTTCTTGGCGTGCACGAGGCCGACCCTGCCCTGGTGGTAGCCGATGTACCACTCCTTGGTCCACAGCTGCCCCTTCAGCCGGATCTTCTCCTCGCTGAGCAGGGCGATGTCGTCCCCCTTCTTGTACTCCAGCAGGTAGTGGTTCTTGCTCTGCCGCACCACCGTCTTGAGTAACTTGCCGAACTTGAGGCTGGACACAGGGCGGTCCTGAAAAGTCGGGTACTTGGTGGTGGCAGCAAACGGGGACAGGATGATCTTCCCGACCTCGTTCTTCTTGAGGAACCGTCTCTGCCCGGATGGCTTGACGGCACTTTTCGGGGGTGGCTGTGGGGTCTGGACGCAGAACTGGGTCAGGATGGCCTCCTGGTCGTCTTTCACCTGGACCCGCAAGGTGAAGTCGGAGAGCTCGCTGGCGTTGGAGCAGCAGATGGAGAAGATGAGACGGCTCACCTTGCCCAGCTTCACCTGGAAGCCTCTCACGGCCTTGGCCTGCTCGCTGGCTTTGACCTCGTAGTTGGTCATGTTGGAAAACATGCAGACTCGGAGATCCTGGGGCCTGGGCAAGACGAACTGGTGCTTGCCCCAGAGCTGCAGTGCCACTGGGGCCGGGCTCGGGGCCTGGCGGGTGACCTCGCTGACCAGTAGGGTCTTGGGGGCACAATCATGCCCGAAAATGGTCACCACCGTCTTGAAGGATGGGTGGATGTGTTTGGGGCCATAGAGACCCACGGTGACTTTCTTATTGATGAAGTCCCAGACCGTGGAAGGGTAGAGGATGTTCGGGCCGTGGGCAACGATGGCCAGGTACATACAGGGCTCCAGGTTGTCCAGCTGGGCCTGGACCGTGTCCCCATAGCTGTAGGTGTGTGGGATGGGGACATAGGGCCCCTCCTTTGAGTCGCTCCTCAGGCACTGGAGGCCCACTGTGCTTTTGCTGAAAATGTCACTTTTCACCTCAGCTGAAACCTTCATCTCCAAGATGATGTGGGTTTTCACCTCCAGGGTGCTCAGCTTCACCTCCAGCACCGGGCTGACGCAGCTGCACCTGTCGCTGTTGAGCTCCAGCGGGGGGTCCAGCAGAGCCTTCATGGAGATCTGCTGCGTCTCCCCTGGAGCCACGTGGCCTTCAGGCACGTGGATGCTGATGCTGGTGTCGGGAAGCTGCACGGCGCCCCCCGAACTCTCCAGCTTGCACACGATGTTCGTCTCCACCGCTTGGGTCTGGCCCCAGCCGGGACTTTGGCCCAGCAAGTCCAGGTCGTGGCAAGACCGGGCCAGCTTCCGGTGGCTCAGCCAGGCAGCCCGGAAGTCCTCCCGGCTCTGGAACTGCTCGGGGGCCGGCGATTTCAAGCCCGTGAAAAACCCCGAGGATGCGGGAGTGTCGGACTTGGCTTGGAGGACGGAGAGTTCCGAGAGGCTGTAGGAACGCTTGCTCCGGAAGAAAGGGTTGTCCCGCCTGACCGTCGGTTCCGCGTGAAGGCGGCTGGTGGCCGGCAGCTCGTCGAAGATGTTGGTCGTCGCTGAGCTGGACTCGGTGAACGAAGATGTGCCCGTATCAAAGAGGAGCAAGTCCACGGTGCTTTGGGGAGTCGGTAAGTCCACGCTGGGCAGCGCTGGCACATTCCCATTGAGAAACGGGTTTGTTTGGACACCGTTCCAGAAAGGATTATTACTGTAGGTTTTGCTCGACTCCCTCCTGTCATCTGTCCATCCTCCGAGCAAATCTAACTCCTTGGCTACTTCGTCCGGGCTGTCTGGAAGATTGTCGATCATCCCACTGTCACTTAAGGTGGAGTTCCGGTAGTTTAAGGGCTGCACGTAAGAGGAAGGGATGTAGCCCATCTCCGTGGTGTTGTGTGCGTACCACCACTCCCCGCCTGACGTATCCAGGACGTAGAGGTGGTCGCCCTTGGAGAACTTGAGGGTGGTGAAGTTGGTTGGGCAGTAGTCCTTGATTGCGATCACTTCCTTTGCATTTCCAAAGGGCGTGGGATTGTCTACTAGCAAGGCACTGGGAGAAGGCACTGCGTAAAACACAAAGAACAGGGGGTGAGGGCGGGCCCTCAGGGCGAGGCAGAGCATCCTCAAAACCAGGGAGAAGAGAGGTCTGGAAAACCATCACCCCCAACAGGGAGGCAACGTGTCCGGCAAGTAAACGACAGAGACAAACCAAAGTAAAATCTGGTGGGCGATTCACCTGACCGACAGCCTAAATCGAGCGTTGTCTCCCCAGATTCTATCACATCCCAACGCACGGTCTGAGTCAGGTGGAAAGGCCACAGAGAGTCTCTCCACCATCCACAGAAACATGAATCAGCATAATGGAATTATCAATATGTCCCAGGTTTTAAACATCTCATTTTGACCCAGCTTTTCTTTACTGTTACTAACTTACCAGGACTGCTGCTAGTTCGAAAGAGTACCTGAATGTGATTTACTTAGAAAACACAGGGATGCTGCGTTAAGTGACCCACTGCATGTAACCAGGGACTGGAAAAGACGTGCAACAGAATCTCCCGGTGTCTAAGAGCTGATTCCATCTCCTGCCTTCAGCATAAAATACATAAACCAAGGGGAAGGTTCCCTTGACTATCAGGCCCGTTTCCTAGTTTCCAAGTTGAACCCATTCTTCATCAAACTGTTTATATGAAATAAGATTTTTGAGGTTGGTCTCTTTCAACCTCTTTTTTTTTTTTTTCTGTATGCAGGCCTCTCACTGCTGTGGCCTCTCCCGTTGCGGAGCACAGGCTCCGGACGCGCAGGCTCAGCGGCCATGGCTCACGGGTGCAGCCCCTCCACAGCATGTGGGATCTTCCCGGACCGGGGCAAGAACCCGTGTCCCCTGCATCGGCAGGCGGACTCTCAACCGCTGCGCCACCAGGGAAGCCCTCTTTCAACCTCTTTTAAACGATCATTCAGAACAACATGGAAATGGTCTCTCTGTTACCCCTTGAAAATCAAAGGTTTAGGTCTGGTTGTAATTCACATTCTTTTTGAACAACTCTTTAAGCAATCTGAAAAATGCGAACACTTTAAACAGCAACTCAAGCTAATTTATGGTTCTTGGCGTTCAACTGCGTGTTACCAAGGTAGACAGCAAAAAAAAAAAAAAAAAAAAAAAGTCATCTAAACAAGTAGGGTGTGTTTTGAAAAATAACAGATAACTAGAAACCTAAGTGTTTTCTCTCCCTCCCATACATAACAAAGTACATATACTCAGAGGATGAAGAAACTTCTTTCTGATGGAAATAAGCCCATATATTTCTCTCCAACCCCCCCCATCCCAACTGTCCCTTGTTTTACAGAGTTTGCTGCCTTCCTGTAACAACCAAATGAAAGTAAACTTTTTTTAGTTGCTTATGTAAACAAGCAAAGAAAGGACTACATTTTTAGTGGAACTACACCTACATCTTGTCTAATATAGGATTAAGTCAACAGACATCCTATTCTACCAAATTGGCCCCCCCCCAAAAAAAATCATTTGCCAGTTTCCTTTTCCTTTAAAAGGAATTAGTGAGGGGACTTCCCTGGTAGTCCAGTGGTTAAGACTTTGCCTTCTCATGCAGGGGTTGTGCGTTTGATCCCTGGTGGGGGAGCGAAGATCCCACACACACACACAAAACCCAAAACATAAAACAGAAGCAATATTGTAACAAATTCAATAAACACTTAAAAAAATAAAAAAGGTCCACATTAAAAAAAAAACTTTAAAAATAAATAAAAGGAACTAATGAAAATTAAATTGCACGTCCTCAGCAAAGTCTCAGGCAATAAAGTGGGAAGCTTCTATTTATTTACACTAACTAAATTACAGAGATACGCTTATTAGCAGGGTGTGAACCTGGGCCTCGAAGGCTGTCACCTACCACCCTGTCTGGGGTGTCGGGGAGAAGCTGGTACTGGGATCACCAGACCTGGGATTTGAATCTACACCCTTAGCAGCGGTGTGATCTCCGGAGCCTGACATTCTTCAGATGGATGAACCACCTTCCCTCGACGGGCTCTGGCGAGGATTAAGCAAGATGATGGTGATGACGTGACTAGCACAGTGATGCTTAGTACAAGGTAAAGACTCACAAAATGTTATGTTTAAATAGACATCTCCGGCCCCCTCCTAATTTAATTTTTCTCCATAGCATTGATCGTTAACCAATATAAAATGTACCATACATATCTGTGTTGGTTTTGTCGGGGAGGGCTCCATTGCCCCACTAGGGTGTAAGCTCTGTTCGGCTATGTTTTGCTCGCAGTGGTGCCCTTGGAACAGGGCCTGTGTCACATAGCAGGTGCCCAATAGACACCCGTGGAATGAATGCTCATCCTGTAAGCTTACAACAGAGACGCCATATCCATGTTACTGGGACAAGGTGTTGCCCAAAGGCTAAGTTAGAATCCCCCCGGGCTGTGCCCTTCTGCTATAAAATCACACTTAACCCTGAAGGGGGGCAGTGACTAAAAACAGCCAAGTCAAAGATAATGGCTTCGAGGGGAGGTGGCAGAAGGCAGATGGGTCAGCTGGGGAACAGGGGATAATATAAGATTTCCCCTCCCACTTTGTTTTCCAGTCACAGGCTCCAGTTTCCTTGACACATCTAATGAAAATGTCACGTCAAAATTAAAACCAAATGAAAATCAAAGAAAGCTGGCCAGCTACTAAAATCTTGTTAGAATTCCTCAAAAGTTATATCCCTATTACGTTCCTCCAGAATAATTCCCTTACAGTAATATTTTTTGAATTAAAAACCAAAGCTATTAGGCAGGCTGTGTACATAACCTGAGAAAACGTATCAGTGCAAATGATCACTTTAGTCTTCTTACCAGACCAGAGAATAAAACTGGTTTTACTCAAAATTGCAAGCACTCTCCTTAGGAGAGGAGCAGTAATAGATATTTCACTCAAGGATGAGGCTTGTCTGATGGGAGACGGCGCCCCTTCCTGTTGGGCCCCCCGTGGAAGTGGACCGCGGCGTGAGCTCCCTTCCAAGACCGGCCCTCTGTCAGACAAGGGCCACACAGACAAGGCTGGGGCTTCCAGCCAATCAAATGCAGGAAAATCCGTATCGAATTCCATCTTAATGAATTCTGGAGAGTGTTGCCAGATTCCCAGGTACCTTGATTTTAATACAAGAAAAATATGCCTGGGTGTCAGGAGGTTCAGTTCACTGAATAATACATTTCCTACCCTCTGCCTCGGGTCTTATGCAGGAAAAACATTCATTAGGGAGGAAGATTCTGCAGCAGATACTCTGGCTGGAATAGATTCCCACCTTGAAGCCGTTTTTACCATCGGCACGTGTGGGGAGCAAATGCTGCCTGGGCCACAGCCTGCCCCTCGGGAGTGGAGTCAGGGGGTCTCTCTCCCCGCCTCCGACCCCCCCAAGCTAACCAGCCCCTCCTCAGCCTTCCTCCCCCAGCTGCAGTGTTCTTTGAGGAATAACAGCTCCTCCTAGATCAACATCGTCATCATCGCCATCTTTTAAAATTCAGCTCTCTGCCCCTCGTTTCAAAATCCCAGCCCAAACTGCATGACTTGAGCTCCCAGTTTCCCACTTCAACCATGACTAGCTGGGTTACAAAGAAAACAATGCCCATTACCAGACTACGAAAAACAAACGGCGTGATTATTCACAGCAACACCCAATAGGTCCGCTGCTCTTATTAATAAAACCTCATGATTCCCTTGCTAGTCTTTTGTTTAAGAGAACATTTTAAGCGATGCTCAGGGCCACAACCCTAAAGGACAGACAGGGAGAAGGGGAAGTTGAGGATAACTGGAAGAGAGAAGAAGAAAGGCAGAAACAGGCACGGTGTGACTTTAGTACATCGGGGTCGGGCATCATGATTTTACCTGGGATGTAGCAGATTAGCTCCAGAAATATTTATTTAGCACCGATTTTGTGCCAGGGGCTAACGATAGAAAGGTAAAGCGAAAGCTCTTGCCGTTGAGCTGTCTGCGGGCAGCGCAATGGATCATTTCAACAGAATTCGGTGAACGTGGCGGGAAAGTCAACTGACGGTGGTGATGGTGATGAGGGCGATGATGTACAAGATGCCAGGAAGCTCATGGGAGACACTGACCGTGGCCAGTGAGGGCAGGATGGACTCTAGAAGGAAAATGACCTGCTGGCATCCACCTCGGTGTCCAAAAGATAGGCTTTATCACCAGCCCAGTTTTACGTGGCTGTTAGGGAAACCCCGGGGCCACCTCTAAACCAGGGGCTGGCAAACTCTGGCCCCCGGGCCAAATTCAGCCGGCCGTTTCTGTAAAGTTCTGCTGGAACACAGCCATGCCCATTTGTTTTCTCTCTTCCGTGACTGCTTTCTCGTTACAATCTCGGGGTTAAACAGCTGTGACAGAGGCCGTAGGGCCTACACAGATTCAAGTATTCACTCTCTGGCCTTCTGCAGAGAAAGCGCGCTGACCCCTGTCCCCGGACCCCCTTTTCTTCTGCAGTGGCTCTCAGGACCTCATCAACTGAGTACACTCTCCTTCCCCCGACTTGTGTACAGCACCAAGCTCTTACCTTAATGTCACCAAAACTCATGGAAAGAGAAACATGTTCTCCATTAAGAAGTTGTTTCATTACAAAGAGGAAAATTCAAAACAACCTCCCAACCCATCAAAACAAAACAAGTGGGTATTGTTCCAGGGCTGAATTCATAACACGATGAAGTTTACAGAGCTAACATTTAATTATCTGAACGTGAACTTGGCAGCCTGTAAGTAGAGGAGTCCTTGGGTCTTAGAGCTCTTGCAAACCCCAGCCAGTGCTATTCCCAGGAGCTCACCTTTGACATCATTAAAGCTTGTTTCTGAAAACCCTTCACTCAGGTCAATCAAGGTCCCCTCGGACTTGCACCGCGGGAGGCCGCTGGAGTTGGCAGCTCGGATGCGCTGAGCTGCCATCTTGAAACTCTCTTGCCGGGTGAACGGCTAAGGTTTCATATTTCCCCTCCAGTTATTCCAGCAATTGCTGAAGCTTCTGTCTCAGGCAACCATGCTGCGCTACGGCATCAGCTCTGCAATGTGCTTCTTCCTGTGAGCAGGGGAAGAAGAAAGGAATTTCCCTTGATCAAGTGAAACACGGTTAAAGAGTAAACCGATGGCAAGTGGGAATCCTCTTTCTTCCAGAGGCCGTGTCACTTTTCCTGGCCCAAGGGAGCAGAGCAGGGCTCACTCCCCGGATTCTATGCCCACTTTATGCCTGTCTCATCTGTTCTCTCGCTGCACACAGCCCCGGCAGTGTTCCCTATCCTGCTGTTTGCACTCCCTCCTCCTGGGGCACAATGAGGCTTGTGAGATCTGCTTGAGCACCTGGCCGGCCCATTCATTACAGTCAAAGAGGAGGACAAAACAGGATCTGTCCACACCGCGAGTTCCAGGGTTCAGGGAAGGGGAACTAAATCTCCTTCTGCCCAGAAAGTGGCTGGTCCCATCATAGGAACAGCCACCGCTGTTCAAGCCACCGCTGGGCAAGCAGCACTTGGCATCGCTGCAGTGGGTTTGAGGGGACGGCTCCCTGCCCACACGCTCCCTAAATCCTCCCTGGACCCCAAATACACAAACACAAATAAGACACACATGGCCACTTGTGGATATAAGGTATTCTTGTGTGACTTCTGCAGACGAAACGTGGTATATTCACTGGATCACTGTGCTGTTACCAAGCCAGCAAAGGAGATGTTTGTGGGAAAGAACACAGATTCTCCTAAGGCCTCGGTTTCTCTGGGAAACGGGCACCCGGGCATGTGGCGGGTTCTGGAGGTGAACAAGGTGACTGGCTCCAAGCAGACCTCTCACCAGGGCCAACGGACAGGAAAGGACCTGCCGGGAGCCAATTTCAGAGCAGGGAACTTCACATGCTCTCCCAGAGCAGACCTGGGCAGACAACGCTCCAGCTGGCCACAGCTGGCCACAGCTGGGCCACAGCACTCGGAGCAGAGGGGTACCCAAGAGCAGGTGAATTTCACCCCAGTATGGCTGGGTTCATGTAACCTGTCCTCAGGTCCCTTGTTCTTTGACTGCTGTCCACAGGCAGCTGGAAATTCGTCTTCTGACACAGGTGGGTGGCCCTACTCATGCGAGGAACCTGGGGGCCCAGCGCCACCCTCTGCAGCTTCTGCAGTGGGGATGACACAGCCCGGCCCCAGGCTCTGCGTGTAGTAACCATGCAGCAAGCAGACCGAGTTTGCACCCACACTCTATGGCTCCCGGGGATGACCCTGAGTTAAATAGCTTACACAAGATTCATTTTCATCTTTGTAACATGGGGTAGTAATAGCACCGTTCTGATTTGATTTGCGTGAAGGAGAAAAAGAGAACCCAGGCAAGGCACTGGGAACAAGGGGCAGGGCTCAGTGACTAGGAACCCCCCTGCCTCGGCCAACACAGGCACGCATCAGCGGCCCCAGTCCTGGCTCTGAGGGACCCGCTGGCAGTGGCTCCAAGGTGGATTCCAGGTCATCCCGAGGTCACAGAGGCCGCATTCCTGCGCCTGAACACCCTGGAGAGAAGACCTGGGTTATGGGCTGAACGCGTCCCCCTCCAAATTCATTTGTTAAAGTTCTAACACCCAGTGTGGTTATATTTGGAGGAGAGGTCTTTGCCGGGGGGCGGGGAGGGATGAGGTTAGATGAGGTGGGTGGAATCAGGGCTCTTACAGGAGGAGGCACCAGGGAGCTCGCTTCTCTCTCTGCTGTTTGCCAGGTGAGGACACAGCAAGAAGGCAGCCGTCTGCAAGCCAGGAATCGGGCCCTCACCCAAGATCCAAATCAGCACCTTGGTCCTGGGCTTCGCAAACTCCAGAAATGTGAGGAAATAAATTTCCATTGTGCAAGCCCCCCATCCTATGGCATTTTGTTACAGCAGCCCTAGCTGACTCATACAGTGTGTGAGGAGGGCAGAAGGGGAGAGCAAGGGCCCTGTCATCCTCAGGGCCAGGGGGGCCTAGACACACATGCACAGGAGGCAGGACAGCAGTGGCTGCCTCTCTGGGGAGGGAGCAAAGGTGGGCCTGGGGGTGACACGTCCCTTAAAAACATGCCCAACCTGCGCCCAGACCGCCGTTCCTCCCACCCACATCCCATCCTGGAGTTCCCCAGTCCATCCGGAACACCCCCTGCAAAATACACAGACACACACACACACACACACACACACACACTTCTATTTGTGACTCATGGATCAGCACTCACAAACATGCCAGTTATTTGAAGGAAGGGGTGAAGCACCTGGATGGTTTCCCCAGCTGAGTGGGATCCCAGATTACTTCCATGCCTGCCCTGTGAGGTTACAACGGACGTGACCACGCGCTCGGACTCCCTTTCCCGCCCCCGGGCTCCTCTTTGCACAGAACTGTGCACGGAGCTGGGCCTCCAGGAGAGGACAGCACTGACCCAGCTGGAGGCACGAGGCAGCTGTGGCCGGGAAGCGCTGCCGGGCTTTGTCTCCCGGTCCCCACGCAGTTGCATGGCTCCTCCGCACCCAGCGTCCACCCTCTAGCCGGGGACACCGGCCGCCACCCATCAGCCGCGGTGGCCGCACGGCTCTGTCCGCACAGGCTGTGTCGGAGCCGGACCAGATACCTGGTCACCGGGCTGTCAAGGCTCTGCCCCGACCAGGCAGCCTGTGGCCGCGTGTGGAGCTGTTTACTGAGACGAGAGAACGTGAAAATACTTCGGATCAAAGAGAGGAAGCCTCGTTTCCTGGCGGGAATCAACGCAGAGGATAAAATGGGATTCGTGGGTGGGCGGGCGGGGAGGAGAGCTTTATGATGGTTTTGAGCCCGCAGCCTGTGTGTGACGGCTGGGCTGTCACATTAATGACAATTCCTACTTGAGATTCTGGGTCTGACCGGGCCTCTTGGGAGGCGGCAGCCGGACACAGGGGAAGGAGCTGGGAGGCAGCACAGGGGAAGGAGCTGTGGGTTATGGCCAGGGGATGCGGGTTACGGCCAGGGAATGCGGTTAGCTGCGGGATCTGACGGCCCCTGCCCAGGCCAGGCTGCTCCCGGGACTGGGACTGAGAGGCACGCCCAGAGAGGGGACCACCCTTCCTGCTGCACGTCCTCCAGGCCCCCCACCCCACAGGCTCCTGCTCAGGACACGGGAACCCCAGCAGCGGGGTGCGTCAGGACAAAGGACGCCAGGGCTCTCCCACAGCAGCTCATCCTGACCACGCTTCGAGAGATGGAGTGAAAGAGGCCCCGGCCCTGGCCCCCACCGCCCTCGGGAGTATTACCGAGTCCCACTCACTATGGGGGTGCGGAGCATCTAGTGGAGGGTTTTAGAAGAAGCCGAGATGGGTGCAGTCTCGAGGCCTTACTGCACAGCCCTGCTCCCAAGGACCCCAAGGCCTGCTGTAGCAGCGAGGCTCCGCAGAACCGGGCCAGCTGCCCAGAGGAGGTGAGGTGCGCCTGGGTTCTAAGCGGGGTGGGCGGGGGGCACAGCCAGGCAGAGCAGGGCACGCAGGCCTGGAGGACACGGCGGGCTGAGCACTGCAGAAGCTGAAGGGCAGGGGCCAGATCGTGACGGCCAAGGGTCTGGCCTCGGCCCTGGACGCTCCCGGAAGCCACAGGGGCTTCTGATGCCATAAATGGAAGCAGCAATGCCGTTCTGTCTTTGAAAACTACGGACACAGTTTAGGAGAAGCTGCTGAGAGAGCTGGTGGAAGGGAGAGACACAGGTGGACATGGCAACGGAGAGGGGACATCCAGACGAGCCCCAGCCCGCCTCAAAGCCCCACACAGACGGCCACGTCCTCAACAGAGGAGCTGGCTGAAGTCCGGATGGGGTGGATTTTACCCAGGGCTGGGAGAGTGATAGCTGAGAACTCAGCTGAGGCCCCTACAGGGCACTGGGACAGCTTGCCAAGGGCGGCCAAGGAAAGCGGAAATTAACATTTAAGAGCGAGATCAGATTCCTGCCGCCCCTGCCAAGAAGGCAGGGGGGCTGGGGGCGAGGTCGGGGAGGGCCGCGGAAAGCAGGGCCTCAGGGCTGGGCAGGGAGAACAGAGTACAGACCACCACTGGGACTCTGGGAGACAGATCCTTGTTTCTGTTTTGTCATTGATGGGGGTACAGTGACTACCCTGAGCCACTGTGTGTTAGCAGCTACATAAAGAGATGTGCAGTCCTTTTAAAACACAGATACACGCACTGAGCTTGCCATTCAAGGAAGGTGGAAGCCACTAACTGCACGGCCCTGACAATGTCGCCACTTACCAGCCAGCGACTGAAGTCTGAGTCTGATTCCCGGACCACCAGAAGCCTCGTTCACAGGAGCTTCAATGCGCCCATTCACTCTCTCTTCCTCGGGACCAGGACCCTTTTGTCCCGTGATGCTCAATGCCCCGTGGGCAGCCCAGAATGGCAACTTTTCCCAGGAGCAGGGGGAGACCGTCCTTGGAGCCAGTCCTGACATCCACCAATACATCTGCAGAGACTGCAGACAACAACCTTCGCCTCGGGCATGTTATTTTACAGCAGAGAAAGACAGGCAGGCAGCCCGGCTGGGCCACGCCTGGGGGCTCGCCCCTCCTGGCACCTCCACGAGCTGACGCCCTCAGGGTGAGGGCTCAGGGCTGAGGCTCTCTGTCTCCACCTCCTCCAGACCCCAGCGGAGGCGCAGCTACAAGATGCTGTCAGCTTCCCGCCCTGCTTCACAGAGCTCACCACACCTTTGCGGCTGCCTGTGGCAGTCAGATCCCTGAATACTCCCTCCCTGGTGCAATCCATATGTGACCTTAATTTCCTCAAAGGTCCCTCCTGCAGCTCAAAACCCTCCAGGTGTGACTTGCTTTTAAAGGTGGACATCCCTCCCTGGCACTCAGAGCCCTCCACTGCTAGGCTCACCTGGGCACCCAGGTTTATCACTTACCTCCACCCCCATGTGAACCAGGGACACACTTCTCAAGCATGTGTTTCACCTTCCAGAGCTCGCTGCCCTCACCTGTGGCACCAGGAAAAGCGCCTTCTCTCTCCCCACCCTCTTTCTGCTCCGCCCTCCTCCCTACAGCCCTGCAAGCTCCAGGTTGACT